GAAGAGGGAAACCCCAACTCTCCACAGTGCTCCAACAGGCAACTCATCCACTGAACTATTTGCAATGAAGACATGACACCCTGTCCAAGGTTCTGTCCAAATTAGTTCTCCACAGTTGTATTGTAATGAATTACCAGATTTATCTGTAGCCATGAACCACAGCACATGAAATAATTCTTCCATACACAAGTTACTGTTCAGATTGAGTCCAAATTGCCCAGAGATCAGAGTAACGGGTACAACAGCTCTTATGCCCACTCCTGAAATAACGTGTCTGTGTGCAGTCCTGAACACACCAGTTGAAAGGGATGGTCCTTCCCAACAAGAGGAGCTGCGGACATCCAGCTCTTGATCATTGCTATGTGGCATACCACTGGACTGAGCCCTTGAGACTGCATACTGCCACACGCCAACATAAATGTGAAGTAGGCTTATGGACCTGGCAAGGGAAATACTCTGGTTTGATTATTGGACTCTTTGAGTAATTACAGATTTGCACTGCTGTGGGCAAAAGCATTCCCAGCTACTCTTAAGAGCTGAATTCCTCTGAAGCAGGCCCAAGTCAAGGTGGTGCATTAGTTCCTCATACCATCTCCTGGAGGTGGTACACTCTGCAGCGGAGCTGCTGGAGCATGAAAGCCTTGAGAATTGCTTTTGTACATGAGAAAACTGTGAATACCAGGGTTATTTGCCTAGGTTGCTCAGCCACCTAAACAAGCCATGTTTCGTTATGGCACAGGCTGCCCTGTTTGCCTGCTGGTGGGCATTTGGCCTGTGTGCTGCCTTGTGTTCACCTCACTGTCTTCGCTGTGAGCTCATCTCACCCCTGAGCCAGCAAATTCCAGGCGAGCCTCCTGTGCAACAGTGCAGACCTTGCTACAAACAAGTGTTTTTCATTATTGTTGTTTAAGGAAAATGATTTCCAGAACTTTGAAAAAAGAACACAACAAAAACCACCAACCCCCCCTTATATATATATATATACATATATAAATACACACAAATTTCTGTGGGAGGCTTGGTGAACTTTGAGAAATATTTGTTACCAAGTGGTATGCCTTTCTTTTTGTCAGCAAGCCCAACACAGACATTTAGGCTTGGATGACCGTGTAACTGGTATGCTAGTGAGATGTTTATGTAGGGATGTAACTTGCTGTGATTGGGGGAATTAAAAACCCACAAAAGCAAAAACACAAAACAAAAATAAATGGCTTAAAATGTCACAGGTATTTTCATATTTATCCCAGTGCTGAAACCACTTTGGCAAATTTTAAAATTCTGATTATTTGATAGGGTTGAAAGTAAGCCAGGGGAAATTAGGATGAAGTGAATGAACTGTTATTTCTGAAGAAGAACTGGATTATTGCTGAGAGGAAAACATACTTACCTCCAACCACCATACACACATCTCATAACACAGAAATGGATGAGGTTCTATTTCTAGGGCTTCAAATGAGTAACTGACAACTGACACTTAACTATGCACATTTAAGCATGTGTCCTTCTTAGGTAACTCCTGCCTTTTACATAAACACATTTGGTTTCAATAAAAAGATATGACTGGGGGTTTTTAATTGGATTTTTTAATTTTTTCAACAGGAGAGTCCAAACTAGTCCTTTGTCTGCAATTACCATCCTGACAGCTCAAACCATAGCTAACTTCATTAGCAGTCATTCATCTCATGAGGCATGTCACTAATAAACTACTGTCACCTTGGATGCAAGTCCCTTCCACTAATGTTACAGTTTTTCAGATAGTCCAGCAAGACTCTTAACTTCATATGGAAAATCAAGCACAGCAGCAGAGGGAACCAGAATATTTCTGCAAGCCTGCAGGTATAGGAGCATTTGGTCAAAGGCAGCTACTCCACTCCTAGCACTCCTAGTGTTTGGAAGATGGACTTTGCTGGTCAGACACTTGTATAACCCATATAACTTGTATAATGCCCACTATGGCAGGCATTTATGTGCAAAGCAGAGATGACTAATATCTTGGCCAAATAAGTTACAGATGAAAAACCTGCTGGCTTGCTCATGTTCAGATTTAGAGCAGCTCTACAGACTGAGACTTCATTTGCCTAGTTGGTCCAAAAGGCCCAGTTTAGTAGAGAGCTAGAGCAATTACTCACAAGTTTGCATAAAACAAAACTCAGGAGGTTGTGTTCCTCCTTGTACTCTATAGCTCAGCTGCAAAGCCAGTAAACCAGTTCTGTTTCTCTGTTTCACTTGATCACCCATGCTTTAACTGTTGTGAACATGCTTAAACCACCTAGTTGTAAAGTCCTGTGGGAAAAGGAGGGAGGGAGGGAAAACTCCTCTGGTCTGCTTTCAGCTCTTCAATATTAACCAGCTGCAAGTCTAGCCTCTTGATTCACCAGTGCCCTGGCCCTCAGGCCAGAGTCACAGAGAAAGTCAACACTGACAATGCAAAACCAGTATAGCCATGCTGAGGTTCCCAGTTCACCTTACATGGCAAAGGGAATGCAGGCACCAAATGTAAAAGCTGTCTGCAAACCAAGTGATGAGATTAATCATTAGCTTGCCAACTATGGCAGTTTCTACACTTCTTTATAGTTCTAATTTCATGTTATTTTCCCTAGAAAGTTTATATTAGACAAGACCACTACCCATCCCAGCATCTTACAACAAAACTATTAACTAGATTATCTGTCCTCCTCCTTGTCAAGTCCAAGTGACATTTACAACTACTAATTCAATGAGCTGATGCATCATGCTGAAAAAGAATTACAAGTTACAATGAACTTTCAATCACAATTGTAAAAATAGTCCTGGAAGCAGTGCAATTGCCAGTTACTCATCCGAAGCCATAATAAATTTAAACTTGGATACTCTGCGATGGTTTTGTTCATTTTTCATATATGCTTTGTTTAGAGTATGGACTTAAGCAGCCAAGAAATCCCAAGAAAGTGGGAGAAGACAAATAAAAACAAGAATTAGGAAAAGGTGAAGTCATAATATGGGCAGTAAATGGACTAAGAGATCCACAGGAGTGTAAGAACATAAAGCTTTTAAGGTAGGATGAGGAACTGGATCTCAGTGATATGCCCTAACACATGAATTCTGAGCGGGGATGACAAAGTGGGTGCCTCAGAGCTGGGGAAGAGGGCTGCATAAAAATTATTCTACCTCCCATAACACGTGTGAGGCTGCAAACTGGGGAGAGAGGATAGTGCTGCTTCTTTTGTCATCTCTGCCATGGTGGCAGATGCTTGTGACAGAGGGGTTGGGCACACCAGCATAGCAACATCATCACCTGCAACTAGACCTAGGAGGAATTGTAAGTCATGTCTCAAACTTGGGAGGAGACAGTGTGTAAATTTAAAGCATTTGATGTTTACCTTACCTTAACTCAGACCAGCTTACTCATAATGGTTAACAGAAGGAGGGGGTGGGTGGGAAAAGGGACTTCCTTCTAGCATCAGCTTTGAAGCTAGAGCTACTGACCTGTAACCTTTTCTCCTGCTTTCATCACAGCATACATCAAGCATAAGCTAGTGTACAGTCAGGCAGAAGATCACAGCTGCAGTTCTGGGTTATGTTCACATCAACAACAGCAGTTTGTGATGATGACGTCCTCAAGGATCCTGTCCATATGCCATGGGTGCCAGTCAGAGTGTTCTCATCCCCCTTACAAATGCGTGGGCTTGCACTGGGTGGAACACCATCCTCCCAACAGCTGCCCAGGCAGAACCCAACGAGTACCTGCAGCTGCTCTGCACTGCCACGTCAACCTTTATTGTTCATTTATTGCCTGGACCAAGCTGGTCCCTGATAAATTGAGTTTGTGAGCCAGAGACTGCAGAAGGATACAGGCTGATGCCTGCCTGCTCACTGGCGTATACCAGGAGGGCTTCTGTTATGCTTATGGGAAAAGTGGGGCTCTGGGAGGCAGCTACAGGCATGTTTTACCTCCCCGAGCCTCTGCTCTGCTGCCTACAACTAATTCTTCACTCGAATTAGAACATGGCGACTCCTGCTGATATGCACTTTCAACAGGACAGCTAAAGCTTTTATCCTCCTTAGGCCTTCAACTACACTACTTTCTCTGCTTTTACATTAACTCATGTCTACTTTGTCTGGGTTCATGAGACTCTTTATTACCTCCTGTTTCATATGACTTACCTTCTCCTACCCCTGTGCACAGTTAAAGACTTGGTGGGTGGCAAACGTTACACACACACACAATGGATAAGATAATGTGAATCTGTAGGTCTGCCCAGGAGCAAGTACAAGGGCAATCAAGACTTCAGGGCCTTGGGATCTGTGGTTAAGGGATCAGGAGCACCGTTAGCATTCTCTATCGTTCCAGCTGCAGGGATTGGTGAGGGAAGAAACAGGAAGAGCTACTAGATCAACACCTAGCTCCGAGACCGGTGTCACCAGCAGAATTTTGGGATTTTTTGATAGTGGATCAGTTTACGTTGTACAAGGCCTGATGGTGATAGACAGGGTACCCCTGTCTCAAAGGGGGAAAAGGATCTTTGCACAGGAGTTAGCAGGGCTTACTGAGAGCTTTAAACTACACTTGAAGAGGGAAAGGTGTAAAAACAGGCTCACTAGAACACCTGCAAATGGTCATGTAAGAATTAGGGTTTCTCCCAGTGCAAAAGGTGGTGGAATCAATAGCCCAAATAAGTACATCTACACCAACGCACTCAGCACAGGCAGCAAACAGAAGGAGCTGGAAGGCACTGGGCAGCAGGAAAACTATGACACGGTGGCCATCACGGAAACATGCAGCTGTAGTGCTGCAACGAATGTCTGTAATCTCTTTAGAAAGGATAGGCAAGGAAGGAGAGGCAGGGGGGTAGTCCTGTATGCTATAGAGAGTGTTTTGATTGTCTAGAGCTTAATGATGGTGATGACAGGATTGACTTTATGTGTAAGAGTCAGGGGGAAGGCCAACAAGGCAGGTGGGAGCAATGTTTACTCCTCTCGGCTAAAACTACAGCAATAATCAGTCACTATTCCCTTTATAGTCCTCCTCTCAGACAGCTTCCAGCAGGTTTGCGGCCTGTTGCAGAGAAACGAAATGCAGCCCAGACCCCTGCTCCAAGCTCTGAAGGAGAAAGACCTCTGGGGTAATGCTCTTCAACCAGTTACCCTCCAGCTCACTTAATAGATTTGAGAGGTATTTATGTTTAAATGTGGTAGTTAAAGCTGCAGTTAAGTAGCAGCCATCAGGTGAGGCCTGTCCTGTTCAGCCATGGCAGAAATAACTCTCAGTTCATGAACTGGGGCTGATTACAGGATCTGTGCCTATAGTTTGACCCCAAAGGTAGGTCATCAACCTACCAGGCATGTGAACACCTTCAAGCAGGATTTTCCAAGTGAGAAGCATCAGGCAATTCTCACTGCAGGTTCCTTGGGAATTTGGGTACATTCTCTGTAGTACCTCTGCAATCTCTCAGCTCACATACACTTTCTGAACAGAGAAACCAGTCACCCGTTAATCAAGGTTTATACCTCAGCCACTTATCCTGGCTCTTCATTAACTTCTCTCAGCTCTCGCCACCCCTACTAATACGTCCCATTAACGCATCTAGCCAGAACTCTTTCAAACAGCTCCACCATAAACAGAGCAGGTTAGATAGTTATTTCCAGCAACAAGTGACTATTTTCTGGGGTCCTGAAAATCCTGCCATTAAGAGTTGTCAAAGATGAAACCCTCCTGTGATGCAATGTTGGGGACTCTGTTCCCAATGCCACCACAGATCTTCTGCCCAGCTCTCATACAAGTCACCTCACGTCCTCATACCAGTGCTTGCTGTCTCACTGTGACCTGCTCAGGTCACAAGGACTGCCTGTGCAGTCTGTCCCTCGGGCTGTTCTCTTAATTAGAAACTAATAACTCCCTGCAGCACTTCATTCAGCACAGAGAGTTCTAGAAGAGCAGATACCTGAAAGAGCAACTTTTGAAATAGAGTGGTGAAAATAATACAGGAAATAAAAGGGGAATTCAGTGTCAAGCAATAAATAATATGTTTGTGGAGTAAAGGCACAGAGTGTTTGTTCATTACGAAGCAAGAAAAGGGGAAATTCCTTATGGCAGATCTGGAAGGCATATGGGTTGTACCTTATTTTCTTTCCTCAGTGCTATGAAAGGGTACAAAGTAAAATCATGCAGTATACAGAGCAGCAGTTAGCCCTTTCAGTACAATGTTGTCCTTCTTTAGAGGAGCTTGGCTTAAGATTTTATGTTTGCCTTTCTTCTTTAAACACAGCTGACAAGGAGTTCTTTAGTGTTTTTACTTTTAAAAGGATTTTAAATGGATTTGTCTTTCCATCATTTTCTAGTACTATGATTTACCCTGGTAAACCACATGACTCATAGAAGAGTAAATTTGCTTTTGGCACTGTTTGGCAAACAAATGTTTTCTGTATGCCCCAGACTGCACAACTGAAATGAATGTATTAATTGAAATGTAAGGGTAATAATCCCAAATCACTTGTTTGAGAAACCCTTTTACTTCTGGAGTGCTATTTGGTTGCCTAAGCTATGAAGTCAAGTGTTGGCTGAAAGCTCAAGCATCCTGCAGCCTTTGGTTCATGGAATTTAGCACAAGGTTACTGCTGCTTAACATGAAAGCAAGTAATGCAACCCCCTTCAAGATTCTCAGGAGTAAGCAAAAGTGGTGAATGCTGTAGGCATTTCATATGCAGGTTTCATACCTCATTCTTGGGCAGTACCAACAGATGAAATAACAGGCCAACAGACTTCAGACTCTCACTTGATGCCCTTAGCAAAACACCATCCTTCTTTACACTGTTGTACAGATCCCTCAGCTAGCAATTTCTCACAGCTGTATCTTTCTTCCTGGGCTGAGTACACACCAGCAGGTCAGCAATGCATCTCAAGAAGGCAGGAGCGTTGCTTGGATCGAATACCTTCCCTGTCCTGGATACTTGAGAGCCTTCACTTCAGAAATAGCTCAAACAGCCTGAATGACAGTCTCGCTTCACAAGCAAAGGAATTGACATTGGCGTTACTGCAATGGCATAACTGCACCCTACAGCTATGCTTACAAGATTCCCACACCTGAACTAGCCCCATCAGTGTTAGCACATCTCCCAGGTCACAGGAAAGATGCATGTTCAGCAGGAACAAGAAATGCTGCATGAGCTTCTTTGACTGCCCTTCCTCAAGGTCGCATCTTGCAGAAGAAAAATCGGCCTGGTGGGAAGACAAGGAGGAAAATAACATTCTTGCCCTCAGCTCTGAGAGGAAAGACCACAAGCAGTACGTGGCTCACACGACAGGGGCTGGAGGAGGAAGATGAGAGCAAAAGAGATTGCCAAAGCTTCTACAAAAACAGAGTCCAGAGAGATGAATTAAGCAAGGCCAACACCAGCAGCTTTGCAGCAAGGCAGAACATAGCGCTTTCATGAAGAGTTCCCCTGTAGCTGTCACCCACCTGGCCAAACTCTTTGGCCCAATGTCTGATCACAGTTCTGGATGCATATTGAGTGTATGCACAGGGAATGGTACAAGTCATCTCTGACCCTTTCATCCATCAAGACCAGTTGCAGCAAGTCCAGAGGAGGGCCACAAAGATGGTCAGAGGTCTGGAGCACTTCCCGTATGAAGACAGGCTGAGAGAGCTGGGGTTGTTCAGCCTGGAGAAGAGAAGGCTCTGGGGAAACCTCATAGCAGCCTTCCAGTATCTGAAGGGGGCCTACAAAAAAATCAGGAGAGGGACTTGTTACAAGGGCATGTAGTGACAGGACAAGGAGGAATGGCTTTAAACTAGAAGAGGGTAGATGTAGATTAGATATTAGGGAGTTCCTCCCTCTGAGGGTGGTGAGACACTGGAACAGGTTGCCCAGAGAAGCTGTGGCTGCCCCATCCCTGGCAGTGTTCAAGGCCAGGTTGGACAGGGCTTTGAGCAACCTGATCTAGTGGAAGGTGTCCCTGTCCATGGCAGGGGGTTGGAACTGAATGATCTTTAAAGTCCCTTCCAACCCAACTTGAGCGGTGAGAAACTGGGTTCAACATACTGAACACCTTTTAGAAGTCTGGGAGGATAAACAAACAAGAAAACCAAACCCTACTTCACAACCAGAAACTGGCTGCTATTTGCACACAAAAATATAACTTCTTTTTCTCCCCTGGGAAGGGCTGCTTTTGTGCTTAACACCCAGACAGACAAGAAAAGCCCTTGCCAGGACATCGGTTTTCCTCATTTGCTGGGAGCAGAGAAAGGAGACTGCTGTGCAACCTTTACTAGCAGTCTCACCCTCAGCTGAAGGAACCTACAGCTTGCTCGGTGCCTTTGTTATAAATCTGTTTTGGTTGGGAAAGGGGGCAAATGCTAGTGCCATGATGTGAGCATATTCTAATGCAGCAGTTAATTCTGCCTTCTTTTATGAAGTTGTGCAGACAACACATTAATGCTGTCTAGAAGAATTTGGAGGCGGGGGGGGGGGGGGGGGGGGGGAAGGCATGCCTCTCTGCATGCTACCGAGAAGATAGTGAAAGCATTCTGAAGTTCAGAAACCACTGTCATACCCCAGAGACGCCCCTGACAAGTCAAGAGAAACACAGCCATTCCTGACAACCGCTTTTCTGGAAGTACAAAGAGCGAAAGTTACTGAGCTCTTCAAAAAAAATAAGTAAATCTGCTCTATTTCCAAGGTTTCCTTCAGACTGACTCTCCTGGCAAGCGGAAAAGATCCCAAAGCCAAGTAACTTTACTCAAGCTCTAGCTCATCTTGCACGTCGCATGCTAGAAGGATTACGTTATGGCTTACTGCAGCCCTAGCCTGAGCCTGGCTAAAACTTCACACCTCAAACGTGTGGCATAAACTCTTTGCATATTCCTTTAACTCAGTTTTCTCACAAACTTGCTCAGCTATTTCCTGACTATGGGTTGTTTCTTTTCTTGCAGTTCAGGTCTTTCTTTGAAACATGAAGTGTCTCAGAAAATTCACATGGAGGCACTGGTTATGAGTGGAAAGACACCTATATACCTGAATGCTCAGGAGGTGAATGCCATGCATGATAGCAGGTTTTGTGTCTCTCATCAGGACAAGCACAGGGCCTCAGCAATGTTATGTTTCAGCTACTCAAGACAACAAGCAGGTTTAAAAAACAAACTAAAATGACCTCTGAAAGCAAAACTGGTCAGTTTAAATCCAGATTAATGATCTCCAGTGCAGAGATCAATCCTTTATTTTCTGTTTGCATAATCCACATGGTGGTCTGGCTCTAAGCACTGTCCCAGTATAGAGAGAAACAGAAATATTTTAAAGAAGACAAAGCTAGTCAAACTCATGAAATATTATATTTTCAATCTACAACTATGGATTGGTCATGCTTTGGTTTACCAGCTGCTTTTCTCTAAGAGTTTGTTCAGTGAAGCCCACAAAGAAGCTGATTTTACCCTGGATGAGGTCTGTTGACCTTTGCAGCACAAAGCTGCAACATTAGGCTGCAGATGAACAAGCTGCTGCAATAAGCATTCCAGAGCTATTGAACAACTTCGGATATCAGCCTTCCTGATAAATGCATTGGGAGCAGTAAAGTAAGGCCATGCAGCATGCACCCATTTATGATACCTGCCAAAATTCCTCAGCCCTTAAAAGGGATATAAAAGAAATGATGTTGCTGATTAAAAACACATACCACTGACAGTGGCAAAGTTATTTAATCATATTTTGGAGGGAATCAGAGTTTTAACCAGGGGTCTGTCTCATGCACCATCTGGAGAGGTGTGCAGGGAAACCCTGCACAGCGCAGAACTGTTTGAATTGGCAGAATGGTTAAGTAAAGGAAAAGACCTTTCTCCTCCTTTGTTCATCTGTTTCACTGACCTTTTCTTTCAGAGAAGAATTAAAAAAACAACTTGGATCTATGAAGAAATATCTGGAATAAGGAAATCCTGCAAGTGAAAAGAAGTCTTACAACTGGGAAAGGCAAAAAAACAGCCAGTGTAACCACAATGCTGGATTTTCTATGGAGATAACCATTGTCGACAAAGCTCCTGTGTTCCTTCGATTAACATACTGTAGGTGGAAGCCAAAAACACTGAATAATGGTAAGTTTCACTTTCTAGAAAGTCAAAAGCTGTTTTGATAGAAGCATAACTGCATTTCTTTTCTGTTCAGCAAGAAAATACTCTTTCTTATAGGCTGACTGAACACCCACGCTGTTCAGAAGTCAGGCAGAGCACTCCTTCTTAGGCTTGGTCACAACCAGTCTTAGTGCCAAAGCTAGCAAAAGCTGGTATCCTGGGTAGGGATAACGCTGCAAGTCTTGGCAGTAAATGCATCTTCACTAAACACACTGCCAGGAAGATTTTCTCCAGTGATGGAGAGGGAGGCTTAACTCTAGTAAATGATGTTTCAGAGACTGGTACAGCACAACGAGGTACAGAATCCATGTACAAAGATGTGAGCGACTTTGTCCATCTCTCCATTCAGGGAGCACTTTTGAAGACTGTGCTGATGACTTCTTATATTTAAAGGAAATTTCTGGATGTCAACGGGAAGAATTCAGCATCTCCTATAAACAACCTAAGACATTTTAGGAGGCCTTGTACCCCACAACTTTAAAACCTTCACGAGTTCCGCATTTCATGCTCCCCATTTGCTGGTCCACCGCACCATAGTTCCCATGCTATGTTGCCATGTGGGCAGCACTACAGGTAAGGCAACTAGGCTCAGGGCAAAGACAGTGAAAGACAAGGAGATAAGAATGCTAGTAACCTACATATTTATGAAGTATTTCTTCTATCAGCCTAATACGCAAATGTATAGGCATGTCTGTGCATTACGATGCACCTATTCTCCAGCGTTTGAAATCTAGATGGCCCTTGAGGCAAGAGTCATGCAGAACAAAGCACACGGCAACACTAACTCCATGCCATAACAAACATTTTATCAGTAATAAGACCAAATTGCGGCTGAACAAGCTTAATTTTGCTCCTTAGCTTTCCCCCACAAAGGACAGTCTTAGAACCTACATCCTTACACAGGTGATAGAAAAGATATTACATTTACGGTGTAATTAAGTAAATCATGTCAGCCTCCCAGAAATGAACCCATTTATAAATACCCTGGAGTCTTCCTATCTTGCATGCACCACTTGAACACTTGTTTAAGGTGCTGCCAGGGTGCCTGTCATCAGTAGGACAAGGTTGCCAGTAGAAACTTTGCAGCAAAAGCCTGCAGACAGGCTTGCTTATCTGCCTCTTCATCTCCAGCACCATATTCACCCTTAAGAAAACTATTTTAAAGGGAAACCACAATGCAATTTTGAAAGGGGCCTGCATTAAAGAAATCGAGTGAACTCGGAATCAATGATTTCATAAGCAACATAAAAGAAGATTTTTTCACTTCTTATTGCTTTGAGAAAAGAAGCCTAATGTAAGGTTGTTCTCTGGCTTGGTTTGATAGGGGACAGGAGGAATCTCAAAGTTTTCCCCGAAACCCCTTAAGATTCCAAATGCAATCTGCATCTCTTCATGTTTTTCAGTGATTCTTTTAACAGAATTCCTTTTCCAGAGACCATACTAGTTAAAGGATTACTACTTGTCCTTCACTACATTTACTTTCCTCATCTTTTACTGTTCTCACTGTAAATGAAAGTCATGGGTCTTTGTACCCCTCTTAAAGAAGATAAGTACATAAATTACCACCAAAAATATGCCCTGAGTAAGTCATGTCAGTTACACAATTAAGCATTTTCTCCTTCTCATGATGTGTTTTATTGAGGTATAAATCAGGACTACAAGGCAATCTTGCACAGACAGGAATTTTAGGGAGGGGGTGCAGATCCCCTGGGCTTGTCTAGAAAATGAGAAACACATTCATAGATGATACATCTCACTGTGTGCAAGATTCGCAGGAGCTACAGAGCACTCCGTCTAGACTGAGATTTAACTTTCTCATTTAAAACAAGTGAAATAGGACTGTGCTGGATGCAATTGCATAAAAACTTTCTGTGTTGGATTAAGGAGGGTTTTGCAAAGCCCAGTTACACTGAAGAAATTGTGCGGGCAGAATGGAGTGTTGCCAAATCACAGGGAGTAAGCAGGAGCTGGAAGGTAGCAAGCGAATCCCTATGTTTAGCAAGACTGCGCTTACTTTCTTCTGTTAAGCAAAAACTTTCCCTTCTTTCCTGCTACTAAAGGCAGGCAGGATGCTTATGGCAGACTTTGCTTTCTTCCAGTCAGGACTTAGCTGCAGACCTTTCTCATTTCTCTCTAGGAAAGTATAAACTGAGGCCAAATAAGAAACCTAGGCTTGCTTGCATCTGGAGCGTGCCTGGGAAGACACAGCAGGATTCAGATGCAGTTTTTTTCTTGCACTTAGGAACTAACCAAAACCACCACTATGTACTTGGGCCTAAGTGCCCAGATGGAAGAGAGAAGGGAAGTCTCTGCTTTGCAGTGCTGCCCAGCAGAGGTGAAGTACACATCTCATAACCCACCAAACAGAGGAACCAGATCACTACATTCTCAATTAGTTAATGGAAAGGGGGCAATCACATTTGTCTCAGTGTCCTCCCATGCAGACGTCCCCTCCCACTAGATCCCCAAACTCTGTATTTGGGATTCACACTGAAGCACTAGTCCTTGGCTATCTTGCTAGTGCTACAGTGCTTTATTTCTCCAGACAGCTCTGCACCCAAAGATCTAGGGCACTAGTATCCACCTCACCTAACAATGACAATTAGCGTAGGTTGTTCTCCCCACAGTCAGTAGAACTGTATTACACTGAATAAGCCCTGGAGACAGCTACCCCTCAACATCTCAGCTAGGCAGGATAAATTTCACCCGTCCTGAGAAATAAAATTTGTAGCTAACACTAGCACCTTCCAAACAACAGCCATCTAAGCTCTGCCCATGTATCTTTGTGCTTGGATGGCAATGGGGCAAAGGCAATGTTTTTTCCTCTGTGCACAACCCAACCTCTTTGGCAAAGCCACGCCCATGCCTGGATTCAGAGGAGCTGTGTAACCAAATTAAATTGTCCTCATTTTGAGGTACAAAGCACAGCTGAAACAAGCTGAAACACGTCTGCAGGCTCTGATGGCCCCCAAGGAAGTTATATTTGAATCAAGTACCTCCCTCTTGACGTGCAGAACCTTAAAGCACACAGCATTAATATTTTATCCTTATGAGCCTTCCAGCACTGCCAGCTCACATTACATTATTCTGGAGCACAAGACTAAGAAATACACATTGGTTTCTACAGTGCCCTTCCAGAACCTAGATTTTGCATGTATCTCAGGATCCTTTTATTTAGAGAAAGCTATACATTTCTTAGTCAGCCTTCCGTGCTTTATCTGCTTCTGCAGTTCAGGCAACAAAGTCAACCCACCTGGTTTGTGCAGGCGGCTGCAGCATCACATGCCCTTCCTGAGGATGTCCTTTCTCAATGTGTCATTGGGGATTTTCACTGCACACACCCCTGATGCTTTGCATTACAGTAAATTGAGCTGCTCTGTGACACTCATCCAGCAAATCATCCCACCCCTGACCTCCTGCACAAGATCCTTGGCTTCCAGTTGAACATGTACACCCTGCCTAATTGTTAGGGTTTCCAAACAATAGCTAATCACAGGCTCCCGTCAGCAACAGGTTCTGAATCAAGCTTCAGTAGTATCATCTGACCAAAGACTGGCAAGGGGGGAAGCCCCTTGCCAAGCCAGGAGGGAAACTGAGATTAGTAACTGCATTAAAACCCATGAAGATAAGGTGGGAGGGCTGGAAGAAGTCCACATAAAGAAGGTGAAAGCTGACAAGAGAGCACAGTACTTTTCAATCATTTATTTTGTTTTGAACTTTAAAGGTGCTGTAAAATGTATTTATACCCGATTCCTTAGTTTACAAGGAAAGCAAGTTGCCTTAAAGGTTTTAAAAGTGGCCTCAGCTGAGCAGCAGTTCTCCCAACCTGGATTCTGGGGATTACATCTCACCCCATGAATAATTCTTTCATTCATGGGGGCCATAGCGTTCCATTTATAACCTCTACCTCAAGTTGACATAGATGGTGTATTTTCCTCTCCATTAAAAGACAGGAAGATGAAGGCCTGAAGTAGCAGCTGCATGAAATATACTAAATTACACAAATGTTGTGCACAGAGCTTCAGGTTATTAAAAAATATCACAGAGAAACTTGGGTTTAGTGTCCAGTGAAGCAGTAAGAAAAAGAGCACCTCGTAATGAATCCTGAAATAAGATATTAAGCGCTTCAATTTTTCATAAAAAAAAACACTCCAAACTGGATTAGAAGTGAAGGCAGAAAATACACAAACTTGTAATATGGATAAAGGGCTTTGTATGCTTTCCATTTGTTTTCCATCTCCTGTACAAGTAGTTCATTGACACACATTGGCCATGGTTTACCTAAAGGAATCCTTGAAGATAGCCTGGCCTTGGGAGCAGCTCTTGCATTTGCTGTTCTTCAGTGCAGCAGAAAGGCTTCAGGGACAACTCGTAAGTGAGAAGCCCACTCCTTGACAATCCTCACACAACAGAGTAGCCTTAGGAGCTGCTGGCAGACAAATCAAAGAGTAGAAAAAAAGCCTAAGCCTGCTCTATTTTATTCCTGCATCCAACCCAGTAACTCCTAGAGTGCAGCCAGGTACAAGTTTTGAGCCAACTTAGTCCTCTCTCTTTTCCAAGTATGACAAAGGGCAAGTGAAGCACATCTCAAGCTCCAGCCTACTGGAGACTAATAAAAACCAGAGATACAGAGATTTAGCTGAAGTCTGGATTATGGGTTAATGCATCCTTAACCAAATTGAGAAGGCTTCACAGAGTTACAAGGATGAGTGCAGAAGGGAGAGCCTGGGGATGACATGTTCATCAGCTGCTGAGTAACCCAGTATTTTAGGGCTGCGCTGTTCCAGCTACAGTGATTCCTCATACAATCCTTACTATTAACTTGCCCAATTAAATACAGCCTCTGGTAATTATGTTTCACTGTTGTGTAGGGTTACTACAGTATGTATGTGAATCACAAGAAGCAGCCGAAGTAAACTCTCTTTGCAGCAATATATAGCAATTTTTGGATGGCCATTTATACA